GCGCACACCTTTAATTCTAGCACTTGAGAGGCAGAGGCAGGTGGAAGGTGGATCTCTGTGAGTTTGAGGCCAGCCTGGTCTTCAAGAGTGAGTTACAGGATAGCCAGGACTGTTACACAGAGAAACCCTGTCTTGAAAAAAAACCAAAAACAGAGAGAGAGAGAGAGAGAGAGAGAGAGAGAGAGAGAGAGAGAGAGAAGGAGAGAGGGAGGGAAGGAGGGAGGGAGAGAGATAGGAGAGAGAGAGAGGAGAGGAGAGGAGAAATATGATATGCTGGGCATGGTAATCCATATAATATAGATAATATAGATTGGGTGTGTGTGTGTGTGTGTGTGTGTGTGTGTGTGTGTGTGTGTGTGTGTGTTCAAGCGCCACAGTAAACATGTGGGAGTCGTAAGACAACTTATGGGAGTTAGTTCTCACCTTTCCATCATGTGGATTCTAGAGATCAAACTCAAGTCATCTCAAGAACACTCCTTGGGCCTTGGTGATGAGTGTCCTGAAGTTGACCAGGTGACTTCAGTCTGTCTGGGTATGTCAGTTATGACATATTTGACTCAAGAAAACCACTAAAGAAGTGTTATACTTGTTCAGGGGTGAAAGATAGTCCATCATAGAGAATGCTAAATGCCGATCCAAGACTGCAATAACATTCACATACTCCAATTCCCATATATGTTTTCTAAATTCACCACATGGGTTCTGGGAGCTGAACCCAAGTCCTCTGCAAGAGCAGCAATTCCTTTTTGCCACTGAGCTATCATCTCATCTCTCCAGCCTTTCATTCACTTGGTGTTTTGAGACAGGGTCTCATGTATCCTAGCTGGTCTTTGACTCACTGTGTAGAAGATGATGCTGGTCCTCCTGCTTCCACCTCCAGAGTGTTGGGTTTACGGTGAGTGATGCCACACCAAGCTTCAACTGGTGCTGGAGACTGAACTCGGGGCTCACCAGGTAAGCACTCTGACAAGCCACATCTCAGCCCCTCTCATTCACTTAATTCTTAATTTTTTCAAATTGTATTTAGTGCGATCTGACAATCCAGGCAATGTTGGAGAGGATAACCTAAAAGCCCTTCCCCTAAAATGAGATTGATGACTTCTCTTTATGCCATCCTAGAGCCCTCATCCAGTGGCTGATGGAAGCAGAGACTGACATCCACAGATATACACTGAGCTGAAATCTGGAATTTAGTTGAAGAGAGGGAGGAATGAAGAGCGAAGGGGTCTGTACCAGGTTGGAGAAACCCACAGAAACAGTTGGCCTGAACAAGGGGGAGAACATCGACCCCAGATGCTGTCCAGGAGGCCAGTACAACACTGATCCAGACCCCTGAACATGGATGTCAATAAGGAGGCCTCTGCACTCCAGGGAGCCTGTGGTGATGGATTAGCATTTTTCCCTGGTGTAAGAAGGAACTTTGAGAGCCCATCCCACGTGAAGGGATACACTCTGGCCCTGGACACATGGGGAAGGGTGGGGGGTGGGGGGGGGATAGGGTGGGGGGGGAGGGGGGGGGTTGGGGAGGAGGGATGGGGTGAGGGGAGGGAGAGGGAGAAGGGACTAACATGTGAAACAAGCTTGTTCCCTAACTAGAACTAATAAATAAAAAAAAAATTGTATTTAGTGCAGTGTGTGTGCGTGTTTGCACTGGTTCCCATGCCCTTTTGTGGTCCTCATGGGCAAAGCATATGTATTGGCAAGCAGGTCCACATGTACATACATAAGTAAAACTAAACCTTTAGAAAGTAAGTGAGAAGGAGAGAGGAAAAGTGGGGACAAGTGACGCAGTAAAGAGACAATGGGATGTAGATTTGTGGTAGATCTATTATCTAGATGGGGAATCAATCCCCAGACAACTTCCATCCCTTTACTGACTGTGCCTATAGAGTTTGCACTCATTCCTTCTACCTGGATATCCATGTGCTACACCTATGCTCAACAGTCAGCTCTCAGCTCAAAAGCTTGCTCCACTACTCACCAAACAGCACCTCCCTAACTCTGTCACCTGCTCACCTGCTTTCTGAGTATAGGTATTTCTTCTAGCTCTGTAGACCAGGCTGGCCTCGAACTCACAGAACTCACTGAGAGTCGCCTGCCTCTGCCTCCCAAGTGCTGGGATTAAAGGTGTGCGCCACCACTGTCCAGTGCTTCACACTATTTCATTAGAAAATTAACTTCATAACAGGAAGACAAGAGGATCCTTGGTGACTTCAGTTTTGCTCTTTGTTCACTCCCAGGACACGGTAGGTTCTGCTCCAGCAATTCTTCATTGCTAACTTATGATAGCTTTCTCAGTATTCAAGGCAAGAGTTAGTTACACATTTTTTAAAAAGATTTATTTATTATGTATACAGTGCTCTATCTGCATGTTTGCCTGCACACCAGAGGAGGGTACCAGGTCTTATTATAGATGGTTGTGAGTTACCATGTGGTTGCTGGGAATTGAACTCAGGACCTCTGGAAGAGCAGCCAGCACTCTTAACCTCTGAGCCATCTCTCCAGCCCCCGAGCTAGTTACTCTTACATTACTTTTAAGAAGCTGTCTATTTCATTCTCAAGACAATGTACAACAAGGACAGTTACACCAGCTGTGCACTGGGGGTTGGGGGGGAGATGCAGAAGACAACGCTAACTGACCCAAGCTAGGACCCCAGGTTTCCCAGAGGAAGGAACTGGAGTGGAAGTTGACCAGAAACCAATCCTCTGGAGTCTTTACTGCCACAGAGGCCCTCCTTCCCTTCAGATGTGACCTTCCTCCTGCCACAGGCAGTCTCTCACCAGGCCCCTCAAGGTAGTCATTTCTAGAAAGGTGGTTCTTCTTGACTCCTGCTGTTCCCACCTGTCCCGAGCAATAGTCTCGCCAGCAAGAACCACACAGGACACTCGGATCCTTCTGCAGGAAAGCTTTAATGCGTCTTGAGAGGAGAGCATAAGCTTACCAGAGCGGAGACCCCGAGCCAA